ACGAGAGATGCACGAGGCTTCCAATTTTTCTACATTCTTGTCGATATCTTTTTTTTTTTTTTAATTATAGCCATTCTAGTGGGTGTGAAGTGGTATATCTTATGGTTTCGATTTTCGTTTTCCTAATGTTTAATGCTATTGATAAACTTTTCATGTGTTTATTGGTCATTTATTTTGCTTGCTCCCATTGTTCTCAATAGCTTCTTCTCCAGCCAGTAAATTTCCTCAGTCTTCGGCAAGGCTGCTCTCCCACCTTTCCAAACCCAAACCCGACATTCACCCCAGAAGCTGCTGTACCATCGTGCTCACCCAATGGGCTGCCCTCCCTGGAAAGCAAGTCGACGACGCTTTCTGCCACTCTTTGACAGTCCCACTGTGACAGATTTTCCAAAGATGGTCACAGCAATATGTGTGGACTCGTATGCTCTTCTGGAGCAAGAGGTGTCTATCTCCATCCCCCTTGAACCTGGGTGGGACTTGGTGACTGCTTTGAATAAGAAAGGGGATGCAACACAAATTATGCTCTGTGACTCCTGAAAGGTCACAAAGGTCATGCAGCTTCTGCCTGGCTCCCTCTCTTTCTTGGAATAGTTCTCTTCGGAATCCAGCCACCGTGCTGTGAGGAAGATTCCAGCTGCACAGAGAAGTCACAAGTAGACGTTCTAGCCAAGAGCTCCAGCTAAGGTCTGAACCAACAGCCAAGCCAACCACCAGAGAGAGACAAACGAACAAATAAATATTACATATAAAAGTAAATGCTACTAGGTGTGGGGGTGATCTGCTACATGGCACTAGATAATTCCAATACCCATGAGTAAGTGATGTTTGCACTACCTGTTTTTTGTGTTGTAACAAGAATGGAGGTCTTCTACATCCTTAGGTTTTCTGAGGATACTCGTACTACCTGAAGTCATTCATCCTTCCCACGCCCATCATGTGCTAGCCGCAGGCCTAAGTATGAGGGATAGATGCTGAAGATAACTGATGAGGTAGGTCCCTGTCATCATAGAAAAAATACTGATTTGAATCTCTGGCCCCTCCAACTGCAAATATAATTTCTGTGAACAATAACGGGCGACAAAATGACCAGTATAGTTTATCATAGTAAGTTTTCTCTCTTATGCCTGTGAGTTGCCCATTTAGCTCTAATTTGTTCATTTTCACAGCTGGGTAAATTATACCACAGAATAACACAAGTCCATCTACCCACTGGAATGCTGATAATCGTTTGGGTTGTTTCTAGTTTTCAGTTATTGTAACGACGTCGCCACAAATGCTCTTGCATGCTGACGCGCATATGCGTGAGTTGCTCTGAAGGACGCACCCGGAAGTGGAACTGCTGGTCTTCACTCGATCACGTCAAACTATTTCCCAAAGTGGTTGTACCAACGTACACCCCCGACTAGGAGTGATGAGAGTCTCCGTGCTCTGCATAGTCACTGACATTCTGGTACTATTGCGCTTTTCTTTTAAATCCTGCTTTCACATAGGTGTACTCCTCTTGTGGTTTTAAGTTGTATTACTAATTAACTTGAATATATTTATTGGTCCTCTGAATAGCCTTTATTTTTTGTTATCTTATTTCTCCTTTTTGCAAAAATTGCGGTAGATACCTAAAACTTATCATTTTAAGCATTTAAGTGTACAATTCAGTGGCATTAGGTACATTCACATTGTCATGCAACCAACAATATCCTTTCTTATGAAGTCTTTGCCTATTTTCTTTCTACTGTATTTTTTAAGTCTACAAATTTTATGCGCAGAGAGCTCAATGAATTCTGACATCTGTAACGTTTAATGTTCAGGATACCAAACTCTGTTAGGACTTTAGAAGGCTCCTGTGCACCCCGGTTTCAATGCCCTAAGAGTAACCACTATTCTGATTTCTGTCCTGATAGCTGCGCTTGCCTGTAACTGACTCTTTAGGTGAACGCGGCCTGGCAGCACGCACTCGTGTCCGGCTCTTTCACTGAACACCGTGTCTGTGGGATTCATCCATTTGGTTTCGTAGAGAAGTAGCACGTTTTATTTCACTGCTTTGTGGTATCTCATTGTATAAATTATACCAATTACGTTATCCATTCTTCAGCATTTGGGTTGTCTCCTATTTTTATCTGTTCTGAATGTACTGCTATGAATATTCTAATCCGGATCTTCTGGTGAACAAAGGTACTCGTTTCTGTCGGTTTCGCAGCTAGAAGTAGATCTGCTGGGCCAGCAGGGATTTGTGCATCTGGTCCTGATGCTGCCAGACAGCTTTCTGACGCGGCTGTAGGAATTCACTCCACCCGCGATGTGTGAGCGTTTCTAGTTGCTGTACTTCTTCCCAGATCCTGGGTATTGTTGGTCCTTCCGATTTTAGCCATTTCGGTGGGGTTGTAGTTGTCTTTTCTCTTTTTGATTTGTACTGTTACTGTGTTCTGAATACAATTACTCTTTTGGTTATACAGGCTACAGTGATCCTATTTCATGGCTCTTCTTACCCCCAAATTAAGAGAGCTGTAATTGTAGTCAGGTCAGATTTTACTTCTGTTTGAAGAATATTCTTCAGGTCTGCTAGGCATCAATTCTCTCAGGACCTATCTGAAAAATGTCTTAATTTCCTTCTTTAAAGATATTTTTTGCTGGGTTTCAAAATTCTAGGTAGGTCTCTGGCTTTCACTGTCACTGCTAAGAAGTCAGCTGTCAGTCCGACCACTGCTGCTTTTAAAGTAACCCGTCTTTTTTACCCTCTCTGGGTGCTTTTAATATTTTATCTTTGTTCTTCTGCAGTTTCGCTATGATAGGTCTTGGAATCAATGTCCTTTTACACGTTCTGCTTGGCATCTCCTGGGCTTCTGAATCTGGCTGTTTCCTATCGGTTTTGGAAATTTGTCTTTTTCTCTTCTATTACCATATATTCTTTATCTCCTTTTGATACCATGCATGCTGGATTTTCTTTTAAGATTCTGCTTTTTTTTGTATCTTCCATCTTTTTTTG